GCCCCCTCCCCCCCGCCCACCTGCAGGGACCCCTGCCCAGCCACCCGCGTCCTCTCGGCCCCCGGACCCGGCCCACGCTCCTCCCAAGCCGGCCGCCTGGTGCGGGTGGGGCCCGAGCTGGGGTCATGAAGCCCCCATCGGGGCCAGAGGAGGCCGGGCGGCCGGCCTCGGACATCCGCGTGTTCGCCAGCAGCTGCACGCTGCACGGGCTGGGCCACGTCTTCGGCCCCGGGGGCCCCACCCCGCGCCGCGGGCTGTGGGCCCTGGCCGTGCTCCTGTCGCTGGCCACCTTCCTCTACCAGGTGGCCGAGCGGGTGCGCTACTACAGGGAGTTCCACCACAAGACGACCCTGGACGAGTGCGAGAGCCACCGGCTCACCTTCCCGGCCGTGACCCTGTGCAACATCAACCCGCTGCGCCGCTCGCACCTCACGCCCAACGACCTGCACTGGGCCGGGCCCACGCTGCTGCGCCTGGAGCCCCACGAGCACGCCGCCTTCCTGCGCGCCCTGGGCCGGCCCCCCGCGCCGCCCGGCTTCATGCCCAGCGCCACCTTCGACGTGGCCCGGCTCTACGCCCGCGCCGGGCACGCCCTGGAGGACATGCTGCTGGCCTGTCACTTCCGCGGCAGGCCCTGCGGGCCCGAGAACTTCACCACGGTGAGCTGGCCCAGACCAAGCCCGGGGTCCGGGCACTGCCGGCCTGCGCCCGGCCCGAGTCCTGGCCTTAACACCCTCGCCCGAGGCCCCTTCTTCCCAGCCGGGCCGGCCACCCTCACCCCACAGCCTCTCTGCCCAGCCCTGGACACCATGCTCCTTGGGGCGCCCCCGCCACCCAGCCGCCTGCACTGCAGCTGCGTGCACATTCCCCCAGCCTGGCTCTGAAGCCAGGGGGCCGGGGAGACGGTGCGTCTGCACTAGGGCCCAAGACCCCATCTTCTGCCAGGGCTTTGGAACCTGTGTTCCGTCTGCCCCTTCCGTATTCGCCAGCCCTAGAGGAGGGCAGGGCCCTTCAACATCTCCGAAGGACGCCGGTCCTCTCAGTGGTGGGACCGGGAGGGCTCAGCTCCGGGCGGCTGCCGGACGGGCTTGGTGTTCCAGGGGCTGGGGAGGGGCCGTGGCCCGTGTCTGCCCCGGGGAAGGCTGGCCCGCTTCCGGCTCTCTGCTGAGCTGTCACCTCCCCCACCCCGGAGATCTTCACCCGGATGGGCCAGTGCTACACTTTTAACTCTGGCGCCAGCGGGGCCGAGCTGCTCACCACATCCCAGAGTGGTGCAGGCAACGGGCTGGAGGTCATGCTGGACGTGCAGCAGGACGAGTATCTGCCCGTGTGGAAGGACACAGGTAGGGGGCACAGGCTCAAGCTGGGGGCGCACAGACGGGTGCAGGGGGTGATGCAAGGCGAGGGTGCTGGGCAGGGCCTGAGGCAGTGCTGCCCTGTGCGGTCGCCCGGGTTGGCGCAGCTCAGTCCTGGGGGCCGGGGCCTGCAGCAGGGGGTCCCCTGGGACTCAGGCCTCAGGGCCCCTCCTCCTGCAGAGGAGACCCCGTTCGAGGCGGGCATCCGGGTGCAGATCCACAGCCAGGAGGAGCCGCCCAGCATCGACCAGCTGGGCTTCGGGGTGGCCCCTGGCTACCAGACCTTTGTGTCCTGCCAGCAGCAGCAAGTATCCTGGCCTGCCTCCCTAGCTCTCCTTAGCCTGCCCTGCCCATCCCAGGGGACACCAGCCCTCCCCCCACCTCATCCCGGGGCCTCTGTCCCCCAGCTCTCTCCTTAACCAGCTCCCCCAGCTGAGCTTCCTGCCCCCTCCCTGGGGCGACTGCAGCTCCGTGTCTCTGGACCCTGACTTTGAGCAGGAACCATCTGACCCCCTGGGTGCCCCCGACCCCACCCCGGGCCCGAGCCCTCCCTATACCCTAATGGGGTGTCGCCTGGCCTGCGAAAGTCGTTACGTGGCTCGGAAGTGCGGCTGCAGAATGATGCACATGCCCGGTGAGGGCGGAGGTGGGGGCGGCGGGTCTGCAGGCGGGGCGGGTGAGGGTCTGGGCCGCTGCTGAAGCGGCGCCCTCTCCCGCAGGCAGCGCGCCCGTGTGCAGCCCCCAGCAGTACAAGGACTGCGCCTACCAGGCGCTGGGTAAGGGCCAACCTCGCGCGCCCAGCCCCGGGCGGCGACCCCTCCCTGGCCCTGGCCGCAGGCAGGCGGCCCTGACCCGACCTGTGGCCGCAGACGCCATGCTGAGGAAGGACGCGTGCGCCTGCCCCACCCCGTGCGCCAGCACGCGCTACGCCAAGGAGCTCTCCATGGTGCGGATCCCCAGCCGCGCCTCCGCGCGCTACCTGGCCCGGAAACACAACCGCAGCGAGGCCTACATCGCGTGAGCGGCGCGCTCCTCCGCGGGGCTCCGCCTTCCCCACCCGCCCCCTGCCAGCGGGGGTGCCCGCCCTCCCAGGGCGCAGCAGAGGCCGGGCGGGGAGCACCTCCCGCCAGCAGCTGGCACAGGGAGTGTCCGTCGAACATTCCAGGGAGAACGTGCTCGTGCTGGACATCTTCTTTGAGGCCCTCAACTACGAGACAGTGGCGCAGGCGAAGGCCTACGAGGTGTCGGAGCTGCTCGGTGCGTGCGCCTGGCGCTGCACGCGGGCGCTCTGCGGCGGGCGGGCGGGCGGTGTGGGCAGGGCAGGGGCGAGCTGACCGGGACCCCGTCTCCGCAGGTGACATTGGGGGCCAGATGGGGCTGTTCATCGGGGCCAGCCTGCTCACCATCCTTGAGATCCTAGACTATCTCTGCGAGGTGGGACCGGCCCGTGGGGAGGAATTGGGGGGGGTGCAGGGCAGCAATGGCCACCTCCTCCCCTGCGCCCCCAGGTGCTCCTAGAGAGGGTCCTGGGGTACTTCTGGAACCGAAAGCGCGCCCAAAGGCACTCCAGCGCCAATCTGGTGACTGCCCTCTCCCCGGCCACCCCAGGTGCACCTGGCTGTCCCCGAGGGGGGCCCTCCCCTCCTCTGACCTTCTCCCTCCTCCCACAGCTTCAGGAAGGGCTGGGCGGCCATCCAACCCAAGCTCCCCACCTCAGCCTGGGCCCCAGGTAACACAAAATGGCCCTCTGGGTCTAGGTGGGCCGTCAAGTTCCCTTCCGGGGGACAAGGGCACCACGGGCAGTAGGCGGGGCCGTCCCAGCCTGCGGTCTCCTCGCCAGGCCCCCCACGCCCTGCGGCGTCACCAAGACTCTCTCTGCCTCGCACCGCACCTGCTACCTGGTCACGCGGCTCTAGACCCCGAGTGTCTTCGGGGCCCCGTCTCCACGCCCCGGCCGCGCCTGGCCCGCTGTGTCTCTGCCTCCTTCACCCTAAATAAAGTTCTAGCGCATCAGCCCCAGTGTCCGTGACAGGCAAGACCGCAGCCAGGGCTGGCCGCTCCGAGGCCCAGCCCGGGTGGCCGCCACCCAGATGGGGTGTGGTGGTGGGAGGTTCCTGGGGCGCAGAGGTGTCGGCCGCCTCCTCAGAGTGGGTGTGTTCAGGGCTGGCACGTCAGCACCGAGGAGCGGGGAGGGGCATCAGGGGCCCCCCAGCACCATGGCGGGGACCCGATAAGGGAACCGCTGCGAAGGTGCTGAGCCCAGCCCAGCCCTGCCCAGCCCAGTCCCTGCCCCTGCCCAGCCCAGCCCCTGCCCCAGCCCAGCCCAGGGAGCAGGCAGGGGGTGGGGCCCGGGCCCAGGCCCGCAGCTATCCTGCCCCAGACACCTCGGCTTTCTCCTGGTCGGGACCTGGTGCCGGCCCACAGCGTCCCCATGAGCAGCTCTCCTTCTCCAGCCTCCCCAAGCATCTTAGGCGGTAGCGAGAGCGCCCCCCACCCCACCCCCAAAGCCCACTTTCTTGGCTCCTCCAAACCTCAAATACTGGAACAGCAGCAAGTGGGCACAGGAGGCCTGTTCCTGCCCCAGCCCCACTGCAGGCTGGGACATGGGGCGAGGCAGCAGACAGGCAACCCCAGGAAAGGCCCCGTGCTCCCCACCCCCTCTGGGGACGCCCACCCAGTCTTGGCTGACCAGCCCCCCGAGTCTCCTGCGCAGTGGGAGCAGGGTGTGGAGGAGGGAGGAGCAGCCGCCAGCCCCAGGCTGCGAGTCTGGCCTGCAGGAGCCCTGCCCGCAGAGCCCACCCTCCGAGCCGCTCACGCACAGCCAGACTGTGGGAAAGGAGCCAATTTATGAAATTAAATAAAGTCCACGAGGGGTCAGCCCAGTGCGGGTCCCGGGTTCCGCAGCCCAGCACAGCTGGGGTCAGTGCACGGGCACCCCGTTTTGCCCCTCAGGAGGGGCTGCCATAAACCAGGCCCCAGCCTGGCAGCTGGGTTCCGGGGCCTAGGGGGGGCAGAAGTCGGAGAAATAGGGGTGCTGCAGGGCCTCCTCTGCCGAGATGCGCTGGACGGGGTTGCACTTCAGGAGGTTCTGGGGGGCGAAGGAAGAGGAGGGCAGGTCAGAATCCTGGTCTCCCCCAGACTCCCTGGGTGGGTGACCCCCCTGTCCACCCCGCCCTGGCTCACCTGTAGCAAGTCTCTCCCCGTGGCATTGAGCTTGGGTACGACGTTCACCAGGGACGTGGTGGCTGGGTACATGGGGTAGGGCTGGGGGCGGGGCGGGGGAGAGTCAGGCCACGGCCGGGGCCGGGGGGCTGCCAGGCCAAGAGGCGGGGACACTGGCGAACCCGGCCCTGCCGCACACCTTGTAATCTGGCAGCTTGGTCATGGCCGGCCACTGCTCCTCCGTGGGGGTCCCCAGCAGCGTGTCCAGGGGGTCAAGGGCCACTCAGGTGGGAAGGACAGGGCGGGCCCTTCCCCTCCCCCCCCCTCCCCAGGCCACCCTCCTCGCCATTCCAGCCCCCTGGCACGGTGGCCAGTGGCCAGGCGCTTCACAGATGGGAACACTGAGCCCACATCGACGTCCACGCTGAACGGCCGCCGGCCCTCGCTGGCTCGCAGCCTCAGGACTCACCGCTCGGCCGGGGACGCGTCCTCTTGGCTCCGCCCCGCGGCCCCCGAGCCCACCAGCCCCACGCCCAGCTGCAGTGCGTCTGCCCCGGTGACTGGGGTGTCCAGCACCCTCGCTCCCAGCCCCTCTCTCGGGGCGCCCGGCACACCCTCCGCCCCACACTCGCGCTCTGTGGGCTCCGGGCAAGGGAGCGGGAGGATATCGGAAGATCCTCTTCAGCTGGTCGTCGACGTCGTTGCCAGGGAACAGCGGCCGCCCCGCGTTGGCCAGCTCTGAGACCGTGTGAGCGGAGGAGAAACACGGGAGCCCTCACACCCTCTGGGGCTGCACCCCGCGGCCCTTCCCCAGAGGGGCCCTCCGGGCCCTATCTGCCCCGCAGGATAGGGAGCGGGAAGAGAAAGTATCCCAGGCCCCACGTCACCTGCGAAGATGCAGCCGGCTGACCACATGTCGATGGACGTGGAGTACAGCTTGGCCCCGAAGAGGACATCCGGCGGGCGGTACCAGAGCGTGACCACCTGGAGGAGACCCCAGCCACAGGGACCCCGCTTACAGGGGTGGGGAGGAGGGGGCTCGGCGAGCAGAGGAGCAGACGGCTTGGGGCCTGGAGGAGCTGAGATGCTCCTGGGCACGCGCCCCCGCTCACCCCCGCTCACCTCAGCCGAGTAACAGCGCACGGGGATCCCGAAGGCCCGAGCCAGGCCGAAGTCTGCCAGTTTCAGCTCCCCGTTCTGCGCGGAGATGGGACGGGACATGCGAAAAGGCTTCGACCACCTTCGACAGCTCCCGCTGTCCAGCCCACGTGGGCGGCTCCCAGTTCCAGGTGCCCCCACCCCCACCCTCCGCCCCCCCAGGACGTACCCTGTTGATGAGCAGGTTCTGGGGCTTCAGGTCTCTGTGCAGCACGTTGCGGCTGTGACAGAAGCCCAGGCCTTTCAGCAGCTGGAAGAGGAATGACTGGGGGGGGGGGTGTCACACCTCAGATGGGAGGCTGCCCTGGCAGAGACCCTGCTGCTTCTCACCGCCCGCAGGGACAGCGCTGACCCGACACCGAGGACCACTTCTGCACTGTGCCAGGTATTCAAGGAAAACAGCAGAGGGGCCCGGGGCCGCTTTCTGGGGCCGCTTTCTGGGACGGGCCTCGGCTGGCCACCCGGGCAGCAGCCCTCAGCATCTCACTACCCAGCCCTTACTTGCCCTGGAGCTGGGACACGGCACTTGGTCCCGGGGCGCAACAGCCCCCAGTACGCGTCGAGGGAGGCCGGTCTCTCTGCGGCTCATCCTGTGCCCTCCCAGCTGTAAGGCACATCGGTGACCTGGCAGAGCTCCTGCCAGGCCGGCGGGCACAGGAAGTGCTGGCTCAGGTGGGGCTTCTCGAGGAGAGGGACGGGGTGGCCTCCCCCGACACCCCAGGGCATCCCTGTCTGTGGCCTTAACTTGGAGCTCAAAGCCAAACGCGGACCCCAGCACCTGCCTCCACGGGGCCCCGGGCCGCAGACCTCTCACCTTCACGATTTCAGGGTCCAGGTCGCCGTTGCAGCTGTCAAAGTACTTCTTGAGGTCCTACAGAGGCACAGGGTAGGGGTGCGGGCCTGCCGTGAGAAGGCCTCGCCTGGCCCTGCACCCGCTCCCTGTGCTGTCCCCAGACCCTGTCACCTGGTCGCAGAACTCAAAAACCAAAGTCAGCTTCTTGTCGCTGTGCAGGACGTCGTGAAGCCTAGGGGGGAGGAGGGCCTCAGCCTGGCAGCCCTGGACTCTGTGGCCCCAGGGCCAGCCCAGCCCAACTCCGAGGCGGACATAGCGTGGGGGTCCTTACACACCTGACGATGTTCTTGTGCTTCAACTCTTTGAGCAGGCAGATTTCACGCAGGGCAGAGCTCGGCACTCCCTGCACAGGGAGGGCGCCGGGCAGGCGTCACGGCCGCCCTGCCTCTGCCGAGCCCGCCCGGCCGCCGCCCCAGCCTACCTCATCGTCATCATCCAGCCTCACTCTTTTCAGAGCCACGATCTCATGGGTCTCCCGGTTTTTGGCCTTGAACACTGTTCCATAGGTGCCTAGAAGGAGGTCAGGTTGAGGATGGGGCACCCTTCCCACCTGGGGGAGTAAGGGAAGAGATGGAGATGAAGGCCCGCCCGGGAGAGGCTTTGTGGAGTGAGGACGTGCTGGCGGCCCAAGGGAGGGTGTCTGCTGTAGGCAAGGCTGCCGCAGCCGGGCTGGAGGGTCTAGAATAAAGGCGGCGCTTCCGAAAGGTGTGGATGTGGTGAGCAGGGGTCTGGGAGAGGAGGGCCGGCAGGAAGGTGGGGCTGGAGGTCTGCAGCGAGAACTGCGGATGGGGTGGCAAATGCAGGAAGTGCCGAGTCGGGAGGTCCGGCGTGAGGCTGGGAGGGGGCGTCTGCAGGAGGGGCTAGCGGGGAGGACGGTGTCTGCACGGAGGGCTAAGCTCGGGCCAGGGCTGCAGCCAGGGCTGAGTCGGAGTCTGCTGGGTACTGATGACGGCAGAGGAGCCAGGACTGCAAGCAATGCTGAAGGGTCTGCAAAGGAAGCTTTTGCAGGAACATCTCGCGCCCCCATACCTTCCCCAATCTTCTCCAGTTTCTCGTATTTCTGCATAGCGGCGGCCGCGGGGACCCCTGCGGGCCCTGGGTCCTAAGACTTCGGCCGCGGCGTTGCAGAGGAGGCGGGACCCCAGCCTCCAACCCTGCCCCTCCCTTTTTGCCTGCGCATGGGCTTCTGGGGCTTGTAGTCTTAGGACGGCTGGGCTCCCCAAGAGTGCCTGCGATCGTGAGCCACGAGACTACAAGTCCCAGCAGGCTGCGCTCCGGGTCTCTGCAGCACTCGATTCCCGGGGCTCGGCTTCCACCGCGGGGGCAAGCCCTGGACTTCAACTCCCAGGACGCACCGCGTGTCCGCTTCCGGCGGCGGCCGCGGCGCGGCGGCTCCCAGGGTGCCCCGCTCAGGCTAGTGCCTTGGGCGATCGCTGGCTTCTGCCGAGGAGGGCCGACACATTCCAGAATTGCGGGGGGGCGGGCGCTCTCCGGGGCTTGGGGCTGGGCGGCCCCACCCTGGGCGCAGGTGGCCCGCCTCTGACCGCTCGGAGTTGTTGCGCTCGCGGAGACGGCCGCGGGGCCGTCTCGGCGCGGCCTCCCACCTCCCCCGGACCCTCTAGCGACCCCCAGGACCGGGCGGGGAGTGGCTCGCGGGCTCGTCTGGCGGGTGGCGGCTGTGTACGGACTAGCTGACCCCGGGGCTGGGCAGAGGGGCGGGTGTGCCCCACTTGCGGCTGGATTCCACTCACACCGGGGACCCCGCTCCCTTCATCGCCGTTTGTCGTTTGGGGGTCGACTCGCGCTAGTTACACTGCCACCCCCGGGGCGGCTGGTGGAGCCCCCCAGGCCGCTCTCTGCAGCCCGGACCCCCGGCGTCCGCCAGGGTGTGGCCGAGGGCCGGCAGGTTGGTTACCGCCCTCGGCGGGCAGACGCCCAGGCAGATGCTGCACTTGCGGCAGCCTTGACCTCATCCCCGGGGACTTGATTATAGATTCTGCCGGGCTGCTCTCTAATTGTCTCATGATTGCATTCTTGAGGGCTGTGAACTGAACCCAAAACGGCCCCAAACAGCACCCCTCCGCCAGAACCAGAGTCGGTGCCAAGCTTGTGTTAATTAACTCGTTTGTAGCTGACCGATTCCGGCGGGCACACGCTTCACCCAGTAGTGAGCTAAGGAAAACGAGACGACGGCCATCCCCTGGCTGGAAGTATCGTTTAGTCAAGCCAGAAGCCATACAGGCAACTTCAGAGGACCGGCAGGGAGTAGGAATAGGGTTCGAGGGTGTCCCGGGCGGGGAGGGGGGGTCACCGCCGGGAATCTCGCCGAGCTGCCCCCGCTGGGAAAGCCTGAGTCAGCTCAGGGTAAATGGCATCCAAGCTGCAGTCGCCATCACCCGCTACCACCATCCACTCCCACCCCCCAAAGACGGGGGCTTTCGGGGAGGCACAGGCGCTCTGTGGGGCGGGGGCGACTCTTGATCCGTCGCGTTAGTATCTCGGCTTCCTGCACCCCGAGCGGCCCGGTCATCCCGGTGCTCCGTTTTCCTGCCCGGGATCCCCAGCCGGGGCGGGCACCTTTCCGCCCGGAGATGCCTACGGGGGCCCGGAG